TCGTAGGGAATGGAAGAATGGTAGTCATAGTACTTATAATTGTACCCCATTCCTCCATTCCCTACTCACCAAAGGTAGGCTTTCAAGTCTGGGACCAGGAGGTGCCCTAAAAATCCGAGCCATGGCGCGGAGGTGGCAGAGCCAATGGAAGCAATGGCCCAGCGAGGCGCAGCTGGGGGCATTTTCAATGCTTTGTGCCTTTGTGCCGGAAGAGTGCGAGCCTTGCCAGGGCTTCACTTTCCCAGCGGTCGACATCTGGCAGTACCAGATCCGGCCACTTGCAGCATCATATAGACTGTCATGGACATCGGCTTCAGCAGATTCGTCTGCTGTTGGATGTTGGAGTTTGAAGCCAGTTTAGCTTCAAGAGAGTTGTTGCTGTTGTTGCCTCGCACTGAGAGCCAGTTCCCAGTTCTAGTCGGCGTTTAAGCACGCAACAGGTTTCAGGCCCGCGCGACAGTTGTTTGGAGCAGGCTCAGGCCCTGAATTTTGACAGCGGTCTTAGGCTGAAGGATCTCCATGACCAGCTGCTGCAGCGAGACGTGCAGTTAAGCCAGCCGGGAGCCGAGAGCGGAGAGCTCTGCCCTTTGTGACCATCGGAAACTCCTCTGTGGCGCAAGCGCAACCGTGGACCGTGGAGCCGGTGTCAGATGTGACAGATCAGGCAGAATGCGTGGATCCGGACCCTGAAGAAGCAGCTAGGGCCTCACAGGATCAAGGAGAGAGACGGCGAGAGCGAGAGGGAGAGCGAGAGGGTTTCACAGTCGCTGCGTGAGTGCGTGCAGGTTGTCGAGACGAAACAAGAAGATCTCCAAGCTGGAGTGCAGGCTCCTGGAGACTCAGTCTGCCGGCTGCACGAGATGCCCACAACTGACATGCCGGCCAACAGCACAAGCCCAGGCAGTACAAAGTGGAGCGGCCCCAGGCAGAGAAATGTGCTGCCGAGGACGACAGACAGGTTTCAGAAGGCCAATTTCCTCGGGATTTCTCCTCCAAACTCCAGGCTTTGGTGAGCATGTGGTAGTCCCACAGACGACTTCAACGCTTTTAGTTCCCGAGCCTTTTGGATCAGCGTAGTCATGCAACATCACGGAGCTTTGCACACTTTGCTCAAGCTTGTCCCCGCATCAAAGACTAATGACAGGAGCCCGTGACAATGGAGGGCGCACCTCCAACTGCCGAGCTCTTTGGTAGCATTTTGTTTGTTTTCGCGGGAGCTTGCGTGGAGTTGTCGTCCACCCGTTCACATGTAGTGGAGAGAAGCAACATTCAGCAAGACAAAGTCCAAAACAGCACGGCAAGTCAGAAACAGCAAGACCACAAGTCACAAGCAAGGCAGCCACGTTCAGAAAACAGGAAGGCCACAGTCAGAAAACCATCTCTTGGCGAGAGTCAAGAACGGGAAGGCCACAAGTCACGAAAAGACGAGAATCAAACATAGGAAGGCCAAAGTCAGCAACAAAAAAGTAGACAAAATGCCGCACACTCCCCATTTCCAAACACAATGCTCGAATGACGGGTGTCAACAAGAGTCATATGCTTTGAAGCACGCTTCCACCGCTAAAACAACCGGGGGGTGGGGGGGGGTCGCAGCCTCGGGTGTTTATCTGTAGGCAAGAGAGATTATCGCACCTTCGTGTTAGGACGACCATGCCGTTCCCAATTGTGTCTGTTCGCTTTCCAACGGCAGCTTTGCGTGTTCCGCTCCTGCTTTTTCGAACTTTGAGCTTTCGAATTTGGGATTTTGCAGCAGTGCAGCAGGCAGCGTCGAAAGAATGCGAAACGGAAAGCCTATCTGATCCTGAGGTTGTTAGTTTTCCGACTGTGGCTTTTTCGATTCTTGAACTTTCTAATTCGGGAGCCCGGGGCAGGCAGGCAGCGTAGAGGGAATGCAAAAAGGAGAGCTTAGTTGATCTCGTGTTTTCTGTTGTGGCTGTTCGTTTTCTGACTTCCGACATGCGGCCTTTTGAAATTGTGGCTTTGAAATTTGGGAGCCGGTGAGAGCGGAAAGGAAGGCACAAGGGATTGTCGTGCCAATGTATTCTGAGACGACCGTGCGTTGTCCCGTTGAGGCAGCTTGTTTCCGATAGTGGCCTTGCGTTTTCCGCTAGTTTTCTGACTGTGCCTTTTTGATTTTCTATTCTTGAACTTTCTAACTCGGGCACAGGAGGCATTTGCGGCTTCGCGTTTTCCGACTGCAGCCGTGGTGTTCTCTAATATTGCAGTCCTGCTTTCCGACAGGGGCCGCCTTGTATCCGACTCTGCGTCGTTGTTTTCCGAATGCGGCTTCCGTGTTTTCGAATTTGTTTGCTGAATGTGGTGCTGCCCACTTGTATGAGAGCCGTGTGTGAGTCCTTATCAGCTCGTTTAGCCATACTTAAGGTTGGGTCTGAGAGGGGGGGAACATGTGCGCAATGCCGGCCAGAAGATCACGTCGTGTCTGCACTTCCTTCTGTTTCCCACATGCTCGATCCGGGGCTTTCCTGAACCCTATCAGGCCCTCGACACCCACACAAAGCCGGGAGCATCGCTGCTTGCGGCCGTGCTCTCAGCACGTGCTTTGTGGACGCCTGGGCGCCCATCAGTTTTACTGGTGCCGAGGACGCCGAGGACGCCTGACACATGCTGCCCCGAGAGCGAGGATGAGTTTATGTCGGAGGCAGGCTCTGAAGGTTTTGGCTATGGGACATGGGACTTACCGCTTGTAACTATTGCCACCGATGCAGCAGGGCTCCATTCTCGCAGTGGCATGCAGTCGTTTGGCATACCACGGAGCAAGACCGAACGTCATTTTTGCCAAATTCTATGCAGCTTTAGGAGTTGGATGCACACGCAGGAATTACTGCAATGGCTTGGAGTGAATTCTACGTCTGTGGGAACGAAACGGTGACAATCCTCGGGGATAAGGAGAGCTTGGCATCACAGCAATTCCAGTCAGCAAACTGGCGTTGCTTTCACTTTAGAGGCTTGGGATTAGGCCTAGGCGACTTGCGGCTCCCTATGTTTGGCTCTCAGAAGTTTCACCACGGGTGACTCCAGACACTCAAGAACAAATGCGTGCGATGCAGGGTAGTCGGCTGAAGGGTTCCGCGGAGCTCCCTCTGCAAAGCCCCTTGATATTTTGCACTAGCACCAGGAGCGCGTGCCCTCTTCCATCATTGCGTTTCGCACTACTTTCGGCCTCCTTTCTCTTTCAATTTTCCCTTGCTCAGGCAGCGAGCCTCAGTGATGCATCTGGAGTCCAGCCACTTGCATCGAAGAAGCGAACGTCTTGTGCCGATCGGTGGATCCTTAAGCTTGTAGTTTGTTTTTTGCTAACACTTCCTGGGCCTGAAGCCCTGGGACGGATGCTGCATCCCGGTGTAGGCCGGACCGGCTGCTGACACGGGGCTTGCAAGCGTTTGCAATTAGCAGTGTTTTTGACTTCGGTCAGGCAAAGACAGGCAGGAAGAGAGGATGCAAGGAGAAAGCCGAACAAGCCCGCAATCAAGGCATGAGGGACGAGGGAAGAAAGAGAGAAAGCAAACGGAAGAAAACCACGAGGAAGGTGGCACAAGCAAGGAAGCAACCAAAGAACAGGCAGAACGACAGTCAACAACAAAGACATTTGGCAAACGCTTCTATGCAGGAGAGAATGCAAAGAATGTGAGATGTAAGGCAGCAGGAGAATGAATCAACGCTATGACGGCAAATCTCGAGCTGTGCTCTGATTGCGATCAGCCATGATTAGCCTCAACTCCCATCATAATACTTCGTGAAACTGTTATGCATATGTCGGTATAATGAATGCTGTCCTTTTAGGTGTCAGGATGACGATTTAACGATCAGTATGGGCTAGTTGGTGTGCTTCGAAACTCATCACGGTGGGGAGCGTCTCGATCCCTCGTCCGATTTGCTTCCTGGACTTCCTGAAGCGAAGTGAGGAAGAAACCTCACCGTTGCACAATCAGTAGATTGAAAATGCTTGTGCAGCCGAACCTGTTCTGGTCGAGAATCCTATAAAATCCTAGAGACGATTGAGTCTTCCGGGTCTTGTTTTGTGATTGCAGCCTCCTAACGATGGAACCCCTGAACGACCCTCTGACGCTTTGAGATTTAAGGACCGGTCCTTTGGAGTCAGCATGGGGCGCGCTGCACGACATTGAGCAAGCATTGCAGCAGCTGCAGCGCAGCAGCGATCGGCGTGCCTGGATTGCTTTGAAAAGGGGAAGAGAGAGGTGAAGAGAGCCTGTGAAAACCTCAGCCTTAGAGCCTTAGAGTCTCAGAGTGCGAAGGCCGAAGGAAAGACTCCAATAGGTGACAGGTGGGGCTTTCGAGCCACCAGGCTCCTCCTATTCATGAACTAGGATCCTGCAAGGATCGAGAGACACAGGTTGCGTCGTAAGCCTGGTTGCAAGCGGCATCGCCCAGGTGCCGACATCTTTCGGACGCTCTCCCAAGGTGTGGTGCTGCCAGCAAGCAAGGTGCAGCCGCAGAAGCTCGACTGAATCCTTAACACCCTCACCCCAAGCCTCGGCCTCCCCTTTGTTACTACTCCGATTGCTGTGATTTGACATGCCGCCACTTGATGCTGTGCAGGAAAGGTGAGGGATGGCTCGGGAACTCTTCCTTTTGTAACACTCTTTCGGTATGCAGAATGCATCGGCTTGTCTCACCGGCAGTCTTTGTCGCATTGGTTCCGCACGGCTGCGCGCCGCTGATCAGCGACATTGCATACTGCAGCATCGTGCACTGAGCTGTGCAGCCCAGGTCTTCGAAGTCTGGGAGGATTGCTTGCGAGCACCCGTGCGACCCCTCATGGCTCTTGCTGCAACTTGGCCGCACAAAAGCAGAGAGCTGAGGGCACAGTGGCAGTTCGTGGTGAGCTGAGGCCGAGCCTGCTGGAGTACCTCTCCGTGCCCTGCCTGCAGCGATCAAAGCTGAGAGCTCTGCTGCTCTGCTCTGCTCTGAAGCAGAGTTTTAGAGGCGCTCTGCACGTCTGCCCTTAGGTGGATGACATCATGGAGTGGCGCCGGACATCCAAGCAGACCAGAAGTCCCAGGGCAGGGAGCTCTGTGAGCTCTGTGCACTTTGCGCAAGTTGCAACATGCCTCGCATTGCAGGAAGACCCAAGCCAAGCATTCTCAGTACAATGCAAACTGAGGTCTTGATACAGCACTTGACTGAGATGGGCAGGCTGGACAGGTGCGGTTTCATCCCGACATGCTTCGCAGTAGCACGTTGCATGGCCACGCGCATCGTACACTCGTCCATCGTGCACCCATGACTGCGCAGGTCCGAGTCCATTCTCGATTTTTCCAAAAAATTGGTCTCTGCTCAAAAAGACCTTCGAAAATTCAATGCCGACATTAAATTGGATGTCGAGCAACAGAAATTCTTCGAGTGTCTCTTGGCCGTTAGTAAGCATGATCTGCGGAGACCAGGTCTGTTTACCAAACGGGATCCCCTGCTTCTAAATCCCAGGCCGATGGTGGTGTATGAGCCTGGCGACCGCGGACAAAACCCATTTCGCAGAGAGCGATGTCTACGATATCGTGAGCGCAAACCTTCGAGATTTGTTTGTGCACTGCCGCGACGGGGATGAATCTGTGCGTCGGTCCGCGCACCATCTTATTCTGAAATATGCAGCCTTTGGCAGCCAACCATTTGTGCAGCAACTGACTTCGGAAGCCATGCTGGGCTTGATGGCAGACCTGCTACCAGAGCCCGCTGAACTTAGCAACGAGACTTCGTTCCAGGCATTGCGGTGTTCACGCCCTCTTGAATGGATTATTCGCGCACTGACGAAGCCTCAGCGTCAGAAGTGGGTGTCCTTGCTGGTCAGACTCCTCCAGGGTCAAAATCAGAAGTCATACCAGAGCACACTGATTGATCGCCTCACTCTCCTATGGCGGGCTGATGACGATCCCAGACGAAGCTACGCAGAAGCAGACCAGCAGCTGCAGGCTTTGGAACAGCATTCCAGCCGCGATGTGATGCTAGCGCTTTACAAACTCCGCAAGTGCTGAAATTTGTCGTCGGCATGCAGAGTGGAAAAAAAGACTATCATGACATGGGCAATGATTCTTCTGTTCAAAGGTGGCACATCATTAAGGTCGCCTGTAGTTTGACAGGAAGCCTTAATTACTATGAGGTTTGCAGCTCCACGGTCCACGAGCGACGGGGATTTCTCAGACCACAGCTGCTGATCTCAGCCCACCCCGTGGCACACTGCTCAGCCCAAAGTACAAGAACGCCCAAAGAACCTTTCAGAAAGGTCTGGACCCCTGCATAGTTCTGCGGCTCAAACCGTTCTTGAGTTGCGCTCCTTTTGCCTTGCCTTCATTGCCAGGGACTCAAATCCGGCAGTTCTTGTTGGACGAAGTTCTACCAGCATAATGGTCTGACCCGTCGGGTATCTGCTGAAGTCTTGTGCATGAGTGGTCTGAGGCCATGCCAGATTACCAAGACCGCCAGGCCACGGCTCGGTGTCCGCGTGCGAGTGGCACACGTTCGAAGTAGCAGCCCAAAGACACAGCTATGCCCAAACCCTCAACCCCCACGACACCAATCCTTGGACCCAAAGTTCAGACCCCTAGGCCCTAAATCCAAAATCCTCCCTTGGCAATCGTTCGCAGGGCACGTCAGCACGGTTCTCTTTCTTCTCGTTTCAGGTTGTTTCGGAGGAGCAGCTGGGCGCAGAGGTGTGCTCATTCGGATCAGGGAAGTGAGTCCTGTGTACAGTAGTTGCAAGGTGCTGCGAACCTGAAGTTGTAAGACAGTCCTGGCATGCCGCAGTGCGCACAGGCGCAGACAGAGGCGGCATCGCTACTCGTGGAGGTTGGCAAGAAGCGGCTCGATAGCAAGGAGACGGGCCACTGTCACCTGCAGCAATGAGTCTCCTGCTACGGCTGCCAACCTCCCCAGGTTGGCAGACTGCGCTTCTTTGCTACCGAAGGCAGATGCATGTCTTGGGCAGCAGAGCAAGATCAGGTCTCGGCAGTCGCTTGCAGGGCACGTCAGCACGGTTCTCTTTCTTCTCGTTTCAGGTTGTTTCGGAGGAGCAGCTGGGCGCAGAGGTGTGCTCATTCGGATCAGGGAAGTGAGTCCTGTGTACAGTAGTTGCAAGGTGCTGCGAACCTGAAGTTGTAAGACAGTCCTGGCATGCCGCAGTGCGCACAGGCGCAGACAGAGGCGCCATCGCTACTCGTGGAGGTTGGCAAGAAGCGGCTCGATAGCAAGGAGACGGGCCACTGTCACCTGCAGCAATGAGTCTCCTGCTACGGCTGCCAACCTCCCCAGGTTGGCAGATTGCGCTTCTTTGCTAGCAGCCCTTTGCCAGTCAGAGGCTGGCAGGGAATAAATCCAGATTAGGAGCAGCAGCAACCGGAGGCAGATGCATGTCTTTGGCAGCAGAGCAAGATCAGGTCTCGGCAGTCGCTTGCAGGGCACGTCAGCACGGTTCTTGTTCTTCTCGTTTCAGGTGGCTTCCATTCATGAATCGCACACGGAGCTGGGCACACAGGCGTGCTCTAGTGGATCAGGGAGGCGTAGGGAGTTCGGGCTGCTATAGGAACGGCAAGAGACCTATGTACAGGAGTTGCAAGATGCTGCCAACCTGAAGTTGGAAGACAGTCCTGGCGTGCGTAAAGTGCCCCAGGTTGCAGCAGCAGGACTGCTGCTTGGCCGGCAGCCTCTTGCCGGCAAGCAAGCGCGCCATGCGAAGGACCTCCAGACGTATAGCTGCAAGAGCTGCCAACACCCGCAGGTTGGCAGAGTGCGCTTCGCTGCGAACAGCTTTTGGCCAGTCAGAGGCCGGTGTGTTTTTTCCGGGGCGCTGACCCTGGGGGTTCGTGTTGTCGCAACCCTAGAATGTAGAACATGCATGCTCTCGCCACGGGAAGCCCCAATCGCGCCATGCAGGCAGGTACGGATTTGTGGAAAGTATGCATGTTCTTTTCCCTTGCTAGGTAGGAGGGAAAAGAACATGCATAATTACTTTCCACAAATCCGTCCCTGCCTGCATGGCGCGATTGGGGCTTCCCGTGGCGAGAGCACCTTGAACGGCACGAGCGGCAGGGGCAGGGGAATTCCGGGGAAGGAGTGTTGGCTTGTTCTGGCTGCTGGCAACGCCCAGTTTGTGCACTGTTGCAGTTCTATTGAAAGCGTATTCTATCTCGATACTCTCCCCATAGTCTCTGATATAGTTTGTGCGAATCCCAGCTAAACATCTGCCCAACTGACAGCAGATAGATGTCCCTTTAACGCTATTCCAGGATGCGAGCAATACTGCCATTCAGCTTCCACTGGAGGGTTGTTGAGCTTGCGTGGAGATATTATCAGGGTGCAAGGTGCTGCGAAGCTGAAGTTAAATTGGGGACCTTAAGATGGTACCCTAAATAGTAGGATCCTTATTATAGGGACCCCAAAATGAGGTACCCCTAATTTTCGGAAACTCCCTTGTAAGACAGTACTGGCATGCCGCAGTGCAGAATGCTCGAAGATCCACAGGCGCAGACAGAGGCACTCTCGCTACGCGAGGAGGTCTGCAAGGAGCGGCTCGACAGCAAGGGGACGCGCCACTGCCGCCTGCAGCAATGAGTCTCCGCTGATCGCAGTGTAAACGTGCGACTCAAGTTCTTGAGATGTAGCTACATGCTACGGCTGCCAACTCACCCTAGGATAGAATCACTGGAAGCAGCTCTTTACCACATGGAGGCCGGCAGCGAATGATGCCAGATTGATAAGGAGCAGCAACCAAAGGCAGATGCATGTCTTTGGAAGCAGAGCAAGAGCGGGTCTTCTAGGATGCCTCGGCAGTCGTTTGCAGGGCGCTTCAGCACGGTTCGTTCGTGCGCTCTCTCTCTCTCTCTGCCACTCCCTGTGGTCGTTTCAGGTGGGTTTCAAATCTCACGTGCAGAAGTTGGTTGCGGAGGCGTGCTCATTCGGATCAGGGAAGCGCAAGGAGTTTGCGCTGCTAGCGCTCAGCAAAGGCGGCAAAAGAGCTGTGTACAGTGGTTGCAAGTTGGAAGACAGTCACGACGTACTGCAATGCAGAATTTTCGAAGAACCACAGGCGTCAGAGTCGTCATCCCTACGCGAGCAGCCTCTTGACTGCAAGCAGGGGCGCCATGCGAAAGACCACGAAACATATAGCTACACGATAGATCTGCCAACACCCGCAGGTTGGCTGAGAGCGCTTCGCTGCGGCGAACAGCTCTTTGCCAGTCAGAGGCCGGCGTGTTTTTTCCTGGGCGCTGACCCTTGGGGTTCGTGTTGTCGCAACCATGCCTTGACGGTCACCCTAACCCTAAACTTAAACTCAACTTAAACTCCCTGAACCATGTCGTGTTTTGAAGTTCGTGACACAGGTGGCACACGCACAAGAACGAGATGATCTGCAGCGGCGCCTTGATGAGGTCCTTTGTGGGTTTAGGGATTAGGGCTTTAAGTTTAGGCAAACATTTTAGGGTTTAGGGCAAGCCCTAACACTCTAAACTCTAAAACCTCTGAAAGAGCAAGCACAAAGCCCCCAGCTTTGGTGTTTGCACAGTGAAGTCCTCATCTTCTCCTCTTTGCGTAGAAGTCTATATGCAAAAAGCTGTTCTGTTCTGCTGCTCTTCCGGCCAAACGACTTGAAAGCTGATGTGAGCCGCAGGCTCTTGCCGAGAACGCCAGGCAGGGGCAGCCCGAAGAAGCCAGCATCGTGGCAAGAGTGGGCAGAAGCCAGCAAGACAGCCGCGGGCAGCGATGGAGGGGGGATCGAACTGTCTAACGTCTGACATCACTCCTTCAGGCTGCGTGGCCTGAGTGACCGTAGCGTGCCGATCTTAGTTTCTGTGGGGGCACTTCTTGCTTCGCCGACCTTTGCGCTTGTCAGCCGAGTTGCACATTTCGCAATTGCCAAGTGCACAGCTGAAGCGTTTCTGGACAAAACTTGGAGCTTCTCCACCCCGCAGCGATTGCAGGCATCGCAGTCCTCGCTGCCGACGCCGCTGCAGCTTGGCAGACTGGCTGGCTTGCTTGCAGGGGTTGCAGGGAGTACCCACATTGCAGCGAGGCCAGTAGGTGCGGAGGCATGTCGAACTGTCGAACACTGCATCCATCATCCCGTCTGTATTTGTACCGCACCATGTTTGCCAGATAGCTACGGCCACATCACGAGTGAAGCATCAGCGTTGCCAGTGCACGAAACCCAGCTTCCTTGTCATGAGTCTGAGCGAAACCTAAAGCATGCCAACTTTAGACGTCGTGGCCACACTTACAACACAAGAACCGAGCCGTTGTTCACAGACGGTTCAGTGTGAAGCTTAGCAATAATCTGGTTCCGAATACATTTTGGAAGGCCAAATTCCTGGCAACCGCCGACACCGAGGTCTGCACGGGAGACGCCTTGCAGGTCGACCCTTGCGACTGGAGCCTACTTTCCTGTTGTGAGCAATTGCACCTCCGCTTACAAGAATGGGACAACTTCAGTCGTTACGAGGCCTGTTCCCGAGTATGGAGAAGAAGGCTGGATAGCTGGATAGTTCAAGCAGTCGGAAGTGTGAAGAGGCAAGTGCACACACTAATTGCCGTGAGACACCAGGTTCAGGGCGTGCCGCACCCGTTGAAGTCGTCGTCACCGCGGCTGCCTCAGAGCGACATCTGAAGGGTCTTGCTGTTCCAGTTGTGGGGCACATGCACATTTGCACGAGGTTCCGAGAGCTGTCGACGAAATGGAGGCTTGCCGGTGATCGCTATTCCAACGATCTGGACTGGTCGACTTGCGACTGCAACTGCATGAGTTGTGCTTGTGAGTATCGTTTGCCGCTATTCTCATGACGTGTTCCTTTGCAGGCGCCAGCACCCATCCCGACCGGTTCGCACCGTGTGCTGCAGCACCGTGTGCTGCAAACGAACACCCGCGTCCCGTTGGTCCGCCCCTTAATCAGTTTTACATGCCACCAGTGCTTGCAAGGAACACTGGCATATATGGTTGTGCCCCGGCGGGATCCCCCACCTTCCCCCCTCCCACCGAGGGATGGCC